ATTTCAATTGAAGTCTGAGTCATCTGAAAAAAGTGAAAAGAGGGTTTATCCAACCCTCTTTCCTATAGGCGCGAGGGTGAAAAAGGCTGTTTGGTTCTGATATTGTTTTGGACGCCAATGACCATAGCTGTCCGAGATGAAAGTTACAGGACGCATACATGGTGTCCTCCAGAGGTCTCACAACTTGTATATTTGGGAATTTTTTAAGGTTACATAAGGTCAGGTCGGTCACGTGACATCACTGTTATAAGTCAATGGGGAAATATAAAAACTGTTATTTTGGCGCCGAGAATGATCTAAAACAATCTCACGTACATGATATCGGGATTTCATGCACTCCTTGCAAAGTCCAATGCTTCACTTTTGCATTGTTAACCTTGTGTGACGTCATTTATGACGTCACTAGGGTCGTACGAGTTTTTCGTCAATAACTCCCGATCAAATGGAGCTAGAGAGTCGGGAAAGCCACCAATGGACTCGGGAAGACCTTCCGAATCGAATGATGATATGCCATATGATACCCTTTGCCCAGCTTCGTGACCTGAGGGGCTCTGACCTGACCTTGACCCGAGGTCAACTACTTAAGTTGACCTCACCCTAGCAAGAAGTATAACATTCGATGCACCTGAGCTAGGCAAACACAATGATGCCAAAATCGCGGCTCTGCGGCCATTTCTTGCGAAGTTATTTACTAAAAACCGAACCCGTAACTTCAGTCACTTGACCTGACCTCAGACGCTACCGGTTAATCTGAGACCTTAAAATCGGGTACGGGGACCCGCAGTTGCTTCTGTACACGAACCCCAACTCCAGCCGTCTGTCCTGTCCAGTAACAACTGATAACATTGATATCGACTGCCGGTCCCTGTACAAGAGCAGCTGAGGTTTCCTGTGAGTGCCCTCTGACAGTTTATCGTTGTTTCCTGTGAAGGTGCTGGGACAATTTACTCAGGGTCGCTGTACAGTAGCAACTGCGGGTCCCCGTACCAATCGCTGCGACTTGTAACGGCACACACGCTCGTTTTTCCCCGAGGCTCTAGCTCTATTAAAAGCGAAACGGCGTGCTGGGGTCGTATCAACCCCTCCGAAACCCATTTTGTTTGCGGGAAAATGAGGAACTTATAGAAAGAACACCTTTCTAATTTTTTACATGTCGATTTGCAATGACATTAAGTTTATTTTGAAAAAATAAAAATGTGAAAAATTTTGGTCCCAAAAGTCATAAGAGGCAAATGAAAAATGCTTAAGGTTTTTGCTCAACAACGAAAATTTTTCTTTGGAATTTTTAAATAGTAATACTCATTTTTGATTCATCGCAAGCTTAGTGTTGTTTACTGTTTGTTGGTTGCTTAACCCGTTCTTGAGTTATAGGCCATCAAACTCACCGTTACGAACCGAAGTTAAAAAAATGTAATGCAATATAACTCAAAAAGTTTTGATCTGAGAAGTCTGATATTTTGCCAGGCGTCTTTGGGGCCTATGATTACCCCTGGGACCGATTTTCATTAAAATCTGAGAGATGAGGGTGACGGGCCTGGTACGATCTATCGTGGAATGCCCCTGCTGCCAAGATATGTCCTCTTGTGCAGAGAGCCAACCATCCAGGAAGAGCCTCCTACCCAGAAAGGGTCTCCTGCAAGAGGCCAGAGGGGGCCTTCTGACTCCGGCCCAGAAAGGACCCTTGCGTAGAGGAAACCTCGGGGCCTCCCCCCCCCCCCCCCAGTTAAATATCTCCTGCTAAAGGGGCCTCCTGGCTCCCACCCAGACAGGGCCCTCTATGCAGAAGGGAGCCTCCCATCCAGAAGGAGCCTCCTAAGCAGAAAAGGTCTCCTGCCAGAGGGGCCTCCTGCTCATGAACGATCTCCTGCCAGAGGGGGTCTCTTGATTCCTGCCCAGATAGGGCCTCCTGTGAGAGGGTGCCTCAAATCCAGAAGGGGCCTCCTGTGCATGAAAGGTCCCCTGCCAGAGGGGCCTCCTGCCCATTAAGGGTCCCCTACCAGAGGGGGCCTCCTGGCTTCTGCCCAGCTCTTGTGCAGAATTAAAGTAGGTTAGGCCGGAAAGTCGAGTAAAAGTACCCGAAACGGTGCTCAGGGGGCCTCCTAAAAATGCCCGAGCGGGGGGGGGGGGGGGGGGGCGGGCCCCAAGGCCCCCCTTGGGTGCGCCACTGGTCTTGATCTGAACTTCACGTGACCTTAACCCGCGACCTGGTGGGGGGGGCTATTTTTTGCCCCCCCTCCAGACTTTTCGATATATCTCCAGAACCGCTGCGCCGATCGTCACCAAACTTTCAGTACCCTCCCGGACATCAATTTTACACATTGTGACCAAAAATTTTTCCAAAGCCTATGATAGGTTGGCCGGAAATGACGTCAGAGTGACGTCATGTTCTGCCGTTTTCGACCCAAAAAAGGGTTTCGCGGGAAGAGCTGTCAGGCCTATAGCTTTGCAAATACAGAAAAAATGATAAAAAACATAAAAGCTGTAGATTGGACAGAGCTACAAAACTGCTATCTCGGATTTTTGAAATTTTTGGATTTTGACCCCCAAAAATAAAAAATAGATTTTTTGGATATAATAATCGAAAAATCCAAAAAGTTTTTTGAATTTCGTAAAACCGGAATATATGTGATAGTCCTTACCGCCTTCCATCCACATACCAAATTTGAGATTGATACCTCTTTTTTTGGCGAAGTTATAGCGAAAAAACTGTTCAAAATTGATGACGTCAAATTTTCAAACTCAATTTTTAGCAATTCTAGACCCCGTAGCGCAAAACAAAGACTCCCCGTGACGAGCTGCATCGATTCAATACCCATTCTATGCAAAACTATCAAATTTAAAATTTGACCTTTTTTGGCCTGACCTTGACCTGACCTTGACCTGAACATCACCAGAAAGTGACCTAAGCCGTACCTGATAGTCTTATAACCAACACCATTGAGTTGGAAATGAAAAATTGGCCATAAAACATGTATCACACAACCTTAGTAAAGTTGGGCTCATGTGACCTGACCTGTGACCCTTGGTGACCTGACCTGTGACCTGACCTGGTATTGCCAGTGACCTCTAATAGCAACATATCTACTAGGCAACTGACGCCCTACCGCTGATTCTCGACAAAATGCGTTTTCCTCGGTGTTATAGCGCATTCCCTAGAAGACCCGTGAACGGTGAAACATTTCATCTTTGACCTGACCTGTGACGTCATCGGTAACCCCGAGGTCAATGAAATTTGGTTTCCTTCGGTAAATTTGACAGGCCTTTCGAACGCCGTTTGAATTTTGCGGATCCGTCCAGTAGTTTCGGAGATACGAGGGTGGGGGGGGGGGGGGCAAAAAATAGCCCCCCCCCCCCCACCAGGTCGCGTTATAAACAGACCCCACCAGGGCGCGGGTTAACACTCACCAATGGTGAGTGTTATGGTGAGTGGTGATTATGGTGAGTCACCATAATGCATTGGACAAATATTATTTTAGATGTTGGATCATTTATCACTACAGAAAAGTCTGGAAACGCACGATTAACCCGCGCCCCGTTGGGCTCTGCCGAGCAACGCGCCCGGTTGGGGGGGGGCCATTTTGGCCCCCCCCCCCCTAAGATCTCGAGAACCACGCAACATAGCGACAAGCGGTAAACGGCGTTGGATAGCCCCAACGGGGAACTACCTTGTGACCCAATTTTATTGACCTAGGTCAAACCGATGACGTCACAGGTCAGGTCAAAGGTCCAATTTTCACCGTTTACAGGCACTTCAAGAAATGCGGTGTAAAATCGAGTAAAATGCATTTCATTGAAAATCATCGATGGGGAAATGTTCTTCAAACACATATTTTGCTATTTGAGGTCACTGATACCAGGTCAGGTCACAGAGGTCAGGTCACGGGGGGGGGTCACAATATGAAAGTGTCGTGTGATACATGTTTTATGGTCCATTTTACATGACAAATGCGATTATATGGGTCAGGCAGCCTTTGGGGCCAGCTTAGATCACGTTTTGGTCAAGGTCAGGTCAAGGTCAGGTCAAGGTCAGGTCAAATTAGGTCAAATTTCAAAGTTAATATTTTTGCATAAAATGGGTATCGAATCGATGCAGCTTGTCACGGGGAGTTCAATGGTGGTCTTTGTTTTGCCGTACGTGGTCTAGAATTGCTAAAAATTGAGTTCAAAAATTTGACGTCATCATTTTTGAACAGTTTTTTCGCTATAACTTGGCCAAAAAACGAGATATCGACCTGAAATTTGGTATGTATATAGAAGAGCGCTGGGACTATCACATATATTCCGGTTTTTTCGAAATTCGGAAAATTTTTGGATTTTTTCAAAGTTTTTCTAAAAACATCATTTTTTTGAATTTTTTTTGGTCAAAAACCAAAAATTTTGAAAATCCGAGATAGCAGTTTTGTAGCGCCGCTTTTTGTCTACTAGACCATATAAAGAACTTTGAAATTGCTTGATAACTGTAGATTTGGTGAGCGTTTCAAGATTGCATGTTTTTTGCTCATTTTTGCTCGAACATGACCTCAGTTTGACCTCAATAACTCCTGACCTAAGGTGACCTAAGACTTGAAATTTGGTGTGAAGGTGTCAAATTGATGCCCGGGAAGGTACTGAAAATTTGGCGGCGCTGCGCACCGCCGTTTTCTTGCTATTCAGGAAAAACCACAGGGGGGGCCAAAATGGCCCCCCCCCAACGGGGCGAGGGTTAATAGGAGCGAAAATATGCCGAGTCGCAATCCCGGCCGGACATGGTCTCTAGAAACAGGTCACAGGTCAGAGATCGTTTAGAGATCGTTTAGATCATGGTCATGAAACATTCAGAGTAGATGTAAAATTGATTGAATCGAGAGTGCGAAAGTGTAGCCGTTATTATCCCCCCGTTACGCGAGTTATTCGCGAAAAAGGGGGAAGGGGGCTCCTACCGTCCGCCGCTCTCAGTGCCAGAGTGAAGTCACAAGGGGGCGGCGTGCGCTGGTGTCTGACTGGGCGCTGGCCGCCGACAGGAGCACCTGTCCCGACTGGACCCGGAGCACAGCCTCGGTATCGACTCGGACTCAGTCAGCGGCTACCGGCTGGGCGAGCTGTGGCGCCGCCTCGACGAGCCGGCGCCGCCGCCCGAGCTGTTGCCCTGGGGCTACACGGTGGGCGACGTGCACCAGGCCGAGCTGCGGCTGCGCGGCCACCCGGCCGGCTCCGTGGACGCCTTCGTCTTCGAGACGCTCATACCGAAGCCGATCGTGCACAGGTGAGAGTGCCGGCTGGACGACACCCGGCCACCAGCCGACTGGACCGTGTCTCCGTGCGGGTCGCTCAGCCAATTAGGTGGGTGTGCTGAATGCTCTCTATCGGTGCTCATAAGGCACCGATAGAGACCTTACACTCTCCGATCGCCAGGCCGACATTACACTCTCCCGAGTGTAATGTCCTTGTTAGTGATGTCAGTTACAGAAAATCGAAATACCGATACCAAACCAAATACCAACCAACACCGTGGGGAAATACCGAAACCAAACCAACTTGAGAACATGAGGGAAATACCAACTTTTTACCAATTTCTTAGCCTCTTACACATTAATGAGGGTTCATGATACCAACAATATACCAAACTTATTAGGATTGAAATACCAAATACCAAATTGGTATCGGTTTGGTATCGGTTTACCAAAAAATTGGTATCCGATTGACATCTCTAGTCCTTGTCGATGTTGGTTTCCGTGTCCGTGTCCTCCGTGTGATGCCGGACGCGTGTCCGTGTCCGTGTCCGTGTCCGTGTCCGTGTCCGTGTCCGGCGGGCGGGCGGCGTTTGACCGAGCCGCCTCCGTGCTGTTCAGGTACGTGTCGATGCTGGTGGAGCACCGCAGGGTGATTCTGTGCGGCCAGAGCGGCACCGGGAAGACGTACCTGGCGCACCGGCTGGCCGAGTACCTGGTGCGCCGCAGCGGCCGACAACCGTCGCCGCAGGCGGTGGTGACGCTCACCGTGGAGCCGGGCGGCGGCCGCGAGCTGCACCAGTACCTGGCGCACCTGTCGGAGCGCTGCCGGCAGCCGGACGCGGCGCTGCCGCACTGCCTCATCCTGGACAACCTGCACCACGTCCAGGCGCTGGCCGACGTGTTCAACGGCTTCCTGAGCACGGCTCACACCGACCCGCGCTGCCCGTACATCATCGGCACGCTGAGCCAGCCGGCCGGCGCGTCCACACAGCTGCAGCTGCACCACAACTTCCGCTGGGTGTTGTGCGCCAACCACGTGGAGCCGGTGCGCGGCTTCCTGGGCCGGTTCTTGCGGCGCCGGCTGCTGGCCGCCGAGCTGGCCGCCGGAGCGCACCAGCCGCAGCTGCGGGCCGTGTTCGAGTGGGTGCCGCGCGTCTGGCACCAGCTCAACAAGTTCCTGGAGACGCACAGCTCTGCCGACGTCACCATGGGTAGGCGGCCAGCAGCCGGCCCATTCACCCCCGCCCCCGTATTGGTGTTTTGCCAGCCGCAGACGTAAAGGCGTGTCGGCTAGATCCCCCTTGCCGTTCGGCCCGTGATCGAGCTCAGCGGGAAAAAACAAGCGTGCTGCCCGTAGCGAGAGGAAGCCGATGCTACACAATTTTAAGATTCTAGGTCTTTGGTTGACCTTCCAGGTCAGGTCAATGATCCAAAAGTCGGAAAAATCGCGGCCTGTTAGAACTTCATAAAGTATAATTGTTATGGTTTTTCGGGGCGCTGATCAGAAATTGAATGTTAGCTTTGGTCACAGATGATGTCTTCATGCATTTAGGCCAGGTTGAGTCAGGTCAGTTCAACCAGTAGGCGTCCTGCCGGGTATTCAATTCATAGTAGGTGTCAGCCACCAACAAAACTAACATGTTAACGCAGCATGTGAACTGTGAACATAGCTAACATGTTAACATGTTACGAAGGCACCAAAACTACTTCTTGAATGTTCAAATGGATGCTAAATCGAAATCAGCTCCAACAACTGCTCTAGAAACATGTACAACTCGAAAAAGTGAACAAAGGTCATCAATGATCAATGACGTTAACCTGACCTCCACATGACCTTGACACCGACCCTAATGCATTGGACCTACATCATTTCACATGTTTAAACGTTTAACCCGCGCATGACTGGGGTATTTTCCATAACGCGAGTGACTGGGGGTGGGGTGGCTCTACAGAGTCCCCCCCCCTTCTACATACATCAGAAACTACTGAGCCGATCGTCAAAATTCAAACGGCGTCTGATAGCCCTGGACTAAATGTCTAGCGAAAAATAATTTTATTGACCTCGAGGTCACCGATGACGTCACAGATAAGCTAAAAAAAAATAATATTTTGGCTTCTTCGCAATTTCGGCTCTGGCCGCCGGCTCACACACCCGAGCAGGCTCATTTCATATATTCATATATTCATATATTCATTCGACACAATCACAGTTGCCAAAGAATGACCTAGGTGATGTTTGCTATCACGAACATTTAGGTAAAACGATGATGATGACGATAAGTAGCATCCATCTATGCAGGGGCGCAGCCAGGAAAAAATTTCGGAGGGGGCTAGAATTATTGAAGGCGCCAAATTTAGCTCAGGAGGGCTCCAATTCCGGGTCAGGAGAGCACCAATTTCGGCTCAGGAGGACGCTGTCAATGCCGAGCAAGGACGACAAAATGTACACTCGTTTTCCCTTACATGGTCACGCAACCTTATTCCACTCAAACTACGGTTTATTCTAGTTATTCCAGATGAAATCTGCCTTTACATTTACGTATTTCAAACGGAAGCGAGGCGCGGCAGTCTTGCAGGCAAACACAAACGGGCTGCGAATGTCTGCATTACTGGTGTGTTTTTCGACCCCATGCAGGGACGGCGCCACAGGGGGGGGGAAGGGGGCAGCCGCCCCCCCCCCCCCAACTCTGAACACTAGGGCCCTCTTTCAGCCAGCAGGTCAGGCATGGACGGAATACTCTCTGGCTGTGCAGAAAGAAGACTTCTGGGCAGAGCTGTAGAAATGACTTCAGGAGTGGGGAATCAAGCCAAAGGGGGCCCTCAAGGTGCCGCCTCCAAGATAAAACTTACGGGCTTTTGGCCCATGTTCCTGGAAAAGGGCCCAATTTAGCAACAAAAAAGGTGAAAGAAAATCATTTATTTTGTGTCTTGGGTGATTGTGGCCCTGTCCTATCTTCCCAGGCTGTAGAAAAGGCCCGGGCCAGAGGGCCCATACCAGTCATGACAGGGCCCGCAGCGGTGCTGAGATGGCCTTTGGAAGGAGCGCGAGAGCCTGTAAAATGCCTGAGAGGGCCCATACCAGCCGTGACAGGGCCCATATCAGTTCCGAGAGGGCCCACAGCAGGGCCCATAACAGTACTGAGGGGCCACCACAAGTTATGTGAGGGCCCGTACCCTGACATATTACTGAGGGTTATGTCAGTCAATGGCAATCATGGAAGGGCCCCCAGAAGTACTGAGAGGACTGTTGCAATGACTAGGAGGGCCCGCACCATACCTGAGAGGGTCCATACCACTCATGCGAGGGCCTGCAACTGTACTGAGAGGGCCCTTGCAACTTGCAAGAACTGGGAGGGCCCGTATCATGCCTGAGAGGCTCCATACCAGTCATTAGAGGGCCAACAACAGTGCTGAGAGGGCCATTAAAAGGTCTTGTAGGGTCCTTAGATAGTCTGAGAGGGTCCACACCAGGCCCCTAGTAGTATAAAAAGGCCCATATCAAGCCTCTGAGGGTCCCTACCAGTCAAGGAAGGGCCTTTACCGGGCTCCAATGGCCATGCCAAACTGAGGATCTACCGAACTTCAGAAGGCCCGTACCAGGCCTCAGGGGCCCAAACCAGGCTTCCAAAGGACCATATCAGGTCTCAAGGGACCAAGCCAGGTCTCTGAGGCCTCTACTAGGCCTTAGAAAGTTCATAATAGACTTAATGGGGACCTGACAGGTTTCCGAAGGCCCAGACCAGTCCGTAGAGGGCACTTACAAGGCCTCAGAAGGCCAATTTCAGGCCGCATAGACCCTAACAGACCTCGGAAGTCCCGCATCAGGCCACAAAGTGCCTAAAACCAGGCTTCAGAATGTCCATACTAGGCCTAATGGGGCGTAACAGGTCTCCGAATGCCCATTAGAGACCTCAGAGGGCCCATATCCAGTATCGGGGAACATAGGAACTAGGCCTCATAGGGTCCCTATGATATCGAAATCGCCCGCGAGCAGGGCTGCGGAGTCGGAGTCGGAGTCGGAGTCGGAGTCGGAGTCGGTCGTAGTCGACAGTTGTGACCGGAGTCGGAGTCGGAGTCGATTTTAGAAACCCGAGCCGGAGTCGGAGTCACCGAAAATCTGTCGACTCCGCAGCCCTGCTAGGCCTGCGGAGTCTGAGTCGGGAGTTGGAGTCGGTCGGAGTCGACAATTCTGCCCGCAGTCGGAGTCGGAGTCGGAGCTGGTTTTTGAAAGCCGGAGTCGGAGTCGGAGTCGCCGAAAATCCATCGACTCCGCAGCCCTGCCCGCGAGTACGCCGCACTAAACCCTGGCCGCCGGTCAACCTTCGGGGTCAACCGTAGGTACCATACTTGAGAGGGCCCATACCACTCATGCGAGAGCCTTTAGGTCAACCTAAGGGCATTACCCGAGGCGCTGCTCCTGTGTCATGTATGTAGGTAGGGGAGAGTGGGGAAAGATGCTCAGGGTTTTACTATGTCATATATTATTCGAAAATGACGATCGGAAAGCAAAAATTTGGAGTTTCAACGGAAGCGGACATCATTTTTCTCCAAAAATATCACACTTTCGTGCCTGAAATATCATAACTTTTTTTGCTATTAAGCATTTTCCTAAAGAAGTGAAAGGGGGCATCTTACCCCACAGGGTGGGAAAGACGCCCCCTGGCGTTGGGGAAGATGCCCCCTGCACTATAAGTGACATAAATGGGCACGTGAATCGCCTGAATGAATCAGTAGTCCCTTCGAGCCTGCAGTAGACACCAAACGTCATCGCAAGGGCCCTCAAAAGTAGTCGAAAGGGGCTTCAGAGGTCATCGTTAGGGCCATCATAGTCCAGCGCGGCCAAACAAGCCTCCGTGGTGGCGTTCGGAGACCACTGTGGGGCCCTTATAGGTCTTCATGATGCTTGAGGGCCCTCGAGCCCATCGTGGGGACCTCAGATGCCAGCGCGGCCCGTGGAGCCAACGTGGGAGCCCTCAAAGGATGTCGTGAGGGGCCCTGGAGCCAATAATGGGGCCCACAGAGGCCGTCGTGAGGGCTCTCAGAGTCAGATGCCGCCCAAAAATTCGCTGTGTGGGCCGAGAGACCGGCAGGGGGAGCACCCGACCGTACTGGACTCTCAATAGTCCCAAATCGGCTTTTGTCTCTCATCACAAGTATGTAATAAATGATTTGACGGGCTGCTTGAAGGACAGCCTAGTGATTTAGGGGGGCGTCTTTCCCCATCAGGACAGGGGGCATCTTCAAAGGTACCGAAGTAACATTAAATCAGTACAATTTGTAAGCCATAAAACTACACCCTGAAACAAACTGTTTTGGACACAGTACACGCATGTTAATGTATCACGACTATAGCAAGGGACGCAAAAATTATCTACCTTCTTTGAAAGTTACAATGTTTTGACACCAAAATATTTTTTGAAAGCAGCAAATAAAAAACATGCAATCACCAGCCAGCCGTTGCCCAACTGAGCTTCGCAAATTTTTGTGCAGTTAACAAGACAGGCTTCCGCTTTACGCTAAGAACATTAATTTCCAGGTTCGATTCTTTGTTTCGCCGCTAGAGGGGGTCTTTCCCACCCCGGGCATCTTACCCCACTCTCCCCTACCGATGTTTTTGGGTCGGCCCTGTCGAGCCGGGCTCCTGTTTGAGCCACTGTCCGTCCGAGTCACTTTCCAGCCGGGAGGCGGGGCATGATAAACTCGAGCATTGAAAACACGCTTTTGTTCAGAATTTTGGCTGCTCAGGCTGATTCAGGTTGTTAACGGGAATTCGTTGGTCAGGATAGTAAACAGTTTCCAACAAAAAAGGTTATCTATTCATTTTACCACAAGAACAATGTCTTGCCTGTTGTCGAATGGACCCCCTCGGTTTTTCGCGAATTACTCGCGTAAAGAGCGGCTGATTGCGACGAAACTTTCAGGAACCTCGCGTTAACCCTCTCCGGCACAGGGGGGTATGCAACCCCCCTAAGGTTTTTTCGCGAATAACTCGCGTAAAAAGCGGCCGATCGCGACGAAACTTTCAGTACCCTCGCATTGATCAATTTTACACCTACCCTGAAAATTTAATTACCCTGAACCGAATGACTTTTGACCTGTGACCTCTTTTCCGTGACCATGTTTGGCCGAAATCGCGACTCGGCGTATGTCGGCTCGCATGAGCCGCGCGTTTGCAAGCTTTTCGTGGTTTCAAACGTTCAAACATGTGATT